GGTGTTGTGTTGACCTAGTGAACACAGCTAATGTCAGGCTGATATATTTAAAATCAACACCCTGAAAGACACTATCACCACATGGCACAGAGGGAGAGGGCAGGACTCAAGAGGGGAGCTTTTTCTGGTTATGCTTTGATTGATAATTCATCAAAAAGGTGAACAGAGATTATCCTTTCCATATAGTCTTGATCTACCTTGGGCTGCACATTAAACTCAAGGAAACTTCTAAGAGATGGGTCTGGGGGGAAGATGTCACCATAAAGAAGAGGTGCCTTAGCTTAGGCCCTGGGGAACTCCCAACTCACTATTACAGAACTAGAATTCATCCTTGTCTAACGATAGTCTTCAGAACAACCCTTGGTTAAATTAACCAAGCGCTTCATGGTACTGATGTGGAAGACCAGACTTCACAAGTGTATTGTACTTAAAAAGTGAGAGGTCAAGTACTTGGTTTGATGGTTTTACAGTGTTGGATACATAATAGAGGCTTATTGACTTGATAAATTATGGAGGGAACTTTGGCTACAATTACTGCAATTAAGGCTGTATGAGCAGATTCCATATCAATCAAATAAGGCATGGAGAAGAACCATTTCTTTAAAATAATTGAATTCACTTTTTTTTGCAAAGGTAATAAAAATACATAGTACAAAATTCCAAAAGCTCAAAAGGCTATTTTTTTAAAGGGTATATATTGAACCATCTTCTTCTAAGCAGTCCTGCCAAATAAAAGGCCATTTAAAGAAGCCTGTCACTTTTTGGTGATACAGAATCAACCATGCATCATCAAGGACTCAAGGGTAAAGACCCTATGGTCTTGGAGATGTATGTCATCTTGCTCATGCCAAATGTGTATTGCTCAGAACTGTATTAAGAAAACTGAACTCCTCAATCAGGCTGGCAAAGAGAGTACAGGTTTACAGCTTGGTACCAACAAATCCCAGCAGGTCACCAACTCTAAACTGAGACAAGTAAGACCTCAGGGACTTTGTATTGACTTGGTATGGTTCGTGTTTACTAGATACTGTGCTTTTAACACAACCGGTTCCCTTACCATGCTGAGGTCATGAAGTGTGACTTCCTAGTCCTTAACATTCAGTGGCAACTACTGCAGCCCACTCCCTCTTCCTCCCTTTCACTGAGGGTGAAGCTGAGGCCACATGATAAATGGAAAACGGCACTGGTGGAGTAAAAAGACCTGGAGTCAAGTTCTGACCCCTCATTGGGCCATGTGACCTTGGCCCCTCTTCACTTAACTTCTCCACGTGTGAGAGGGTGATTATTACATATGCAGAAAGCCAGGCTCATGTAAATAGAGAGAACACCATCCAAAATGAGTTCTTCCTGCACAAAACCAGATGAAGGACAGAGTGGTCCAGAACTCATGTTCCCCCAATCAGTAGCACTCCACAAACTGCTTCTAACTGTCCCATCAGTACCAAGGACAGATGCTGTCGCTATCCAGTCTGAGCAGAACTGGCTGCGTTCTTTAGAAGCAGAAAACTGTGGTTCTACTGCCTCCCTGAACAGTGTCGCTATTGTTGTCTACAACAGTTCTCAAAGCGCTGCTCTCATTGTCCACGTGCTCGACCTGGCCCATTCCCAGTACTCCACCCAATTGGGAAATGCTCCTACGGATTTTATTTTGATATACCTTCTCTGACTGTGCGTCAGACCTTATCATCTGGCCTCTCTTTCATATACTAGCAACGGCACTTAGGGGGCTAAAACCAAGCCAAGTGTTCTGAAGTCAAAAACCAACAGGTCCGTACGTCCAGCTCACTCATTGGCCGGACAGTCTTCCCACGGTGGGCAGCGTCGGGCCCTGTCCGCGGATACCCTCTAGTGGCAGCAGCGCGTAACTGCAGTAACCGCGAGGGAGGCGTGGAGTGCTCCAACGCCCCCTGGCGTTAGTCAGGAGACGCTCTGAGGGCAAAGAAAGAGACCAGGCGAGCGGTCCAAGCTTCTGGGTGTTTGGATGTGAGTGCATGGGTTGGGGCCGGGAAAGGAGTTTCGGGGTGGGGAGTAGAAGCTTTGCACACGAGTGTATTAAAGTCTAGTATGCATGCATGTAGATTTGTGCATGGTTGTGCTCAGGTTCTCTGAATGCTGTGTACCTGTCTTGTTTAATGTGTGCTATATGCGTGAGCCCACGCATTCACACGCGGGTAGGTTGGTGGTGGGGAAGTCGGTGCCTCCAGTGCAGGGCGGAGTCCTCACGGAGGCGTGAAATTGGTTTGGAGCAAACACATTACGGAAAGCAATTACCGGGGAGAGGTTCTGGGCCCACGGGACCAACAGCCAGAAGGCTGGGGAGCAAGCTCCCTGGCTTGCAAGTGTCTAGATGTCTAACCCCAGAAAGGACCTTCCTAACCGGCCAACGCCGCTGGTAGAGGTTAGGCACATCCCCCTCTACTGACCACTCCAGTTGTCCTTACCCCCCCCCTTAAAAAGGCATCCCACACCCAGCCCTGGCCAGAGGTGACAGGCACCACTCCTCCCTGAGGCCTTCCCACATCTGTACCCCATTCCTCATCTTCCACAGCTTCCTCTTCTTGCCCTCAGCCCCTGCTCCCACAGTTATTTTGCCCTCCTTTCATTGTTTCTTATATTCTGACTAGTTCACACACTTGTTTCTTAGACCAGGTTGAAAATTCACTGAGGGCAGGATCACGTCTCATTCACAGCCTTATATCTAGTACCTAAAGCCTGGAGCTCAGGAAGCACAAAATGAACAGAGAGGATAGATCTGCAGAATCTCCATCAAATTTTATAAACAAATTTTATAAACTTCCAGGAAAATCAGGATGCCCTTTTTCACATGCCCAGACCTGCCCTCCTCCCTGCACTCCCGAGTCACAGATCCAGATGGCATGGAACCCAGCCACTCTGAGGTGTCTAACAGGCAGCTCCAGTTTAGTGTACCCAACACCCAGGTAACTAGTGCCACTACTTAGGTAATTAGTGCCACCATATCTGTTCAAATCAAAAAACTGGGAACATCCTGGCGGAGGCTTTCTCCAGCCCCATCTCCACTTCATCAGCAGGGCCCATCGGTTCTCAAAAGGACCCCAAATCTTACCCTGTCTCTCAAGCAGTCTCCCCAGCTCTCTAAGGCCTCCCTTCCCCAGTCCCTAGCACCAGAGCAGCCCTCCGGATCTACATTCTCTCCTGCCACTCCCTTGCTCTTCCCCATCTTCTCCCGCTGGCTCCTCCTCTGTCATTCAGATCATTCAGGTTCAATGTCACCTCCTCAAACAGTGGGTTCCTCGTCACCCAGTCTAAAAGAGCTCCCAGTCACGGTCACATCACCCTTTTGCATTTCTCCCTAGCACTTATCACAAGTGAGATTTGTTCATGTTTGTTTTGTGTCCTGTCCCCACTGCAGGCACCCCTCACTGTCCAGGAGAAAACCTCTTGCTGACCTGCATGCAGCGAGGAGGGGTCCGTGGAGGTGAGGCCAGTCCGGGTCTCTACAGCGCCAGCACCTGAAGCCCAGGCCGCCCGGGCCGCCCAGGGCTCCTGAGGCCAGGATCCTACTCCCGGCCCACTGACCTCCACTCGGCTTTTCATCTGCGCTCTCCACACCCTCGGGGAGGCGTAGGTGTCACTCAGATCCTCCGCCCAACCTCCCCCAACCCCCAGGCCCCACCCCACCCTCTGGCCTCGCCCCACGCAGTCTGGCTCCCAGCAGTTGGCGGGAAAGTGGCTGAGCTCCAGCGCGTGCGCACTCTGGAGGCCTGGGAACTGTGTAGCGACCCTTGGCATCTGATTGGCTGCTCTGTGGCTTCCCGACAACTCCTCCTCCCTCCTGTGGTTGCGGGCCAGCTCCAGGCTGCTGGGCCCTCCTACAGGTTCTTACCACTCTGGGCTGCAATGACCCCTAGGGACTCTCCTTTCTCTTACAGATGCAGAAAAGTGAGCCCAGGGGGTAGGAGACTTGTGTTGCACCAAAGTTAATGGTAGAGCTAGGAGCACAGTGGAACCGGGCCCTGTTAACAGCGTGGCACTTTTGCCACCACACAACTGAATTTAAGGAAGGAGCAGAAAAGAGGCCGGGGCCAGGGGTGCATGGGTGCTCTGCGACCTACAGTATCGAGCAACAGGTAGACCCGTTCTGGTTCCCAAATCTGGGCCTTTTACTCTCACCTGAGCCATGGTCACTCTTCCACCCTGGGCCCACCCGCATGTCCGCTCTTTCTTGGGTGGCTCTTCCTCACCTTGCCTCTTACTCAGCCAAGCCTTCCTTTACTGTCCTATCACCTCTCTGCAAAACCTCCCTCTGCACAGAGGCTCTGCCTACCCACAGCCATTAAGCCTTCAGGCCTCTTCTGACCCACTCACCTGGTGGCCATCTCCAGTGGACAATGGGCAGCTGCCTGAGACCCCTCAGCAGCTGGTGGATGCCAAAGGGAGAAAGTTAGGTGGGCTAGCACATGGGTGGATCCAGGGACCCTGCTAGTGCCCATCTTGAGGAGCCAGCAAGAGGAGGAAGGCTTATTGGAAAAGAATCAAACCACACAGCTACATCCCCAGCCCTTTTATTTTTGAGACAGGGCCTCGCTAAATTGCTGAGGCTGGTCTCGAACTTGCAGTCCTCCTGTGTCAGCCTCCCAAATTGCTGAGATTACAGGTGTGCACCACTACTGCCAGCTGGGCCTGGAGACTTTTAATGAACATACAGGCTAGAGGGTGCTTGGAGAGGAGTGGCCCACTTGCTGTCTTCATCAGATGTCACTTGGATGTGTGATTTGTCTGCCCCTTTCAGGTGGGGATTGAAGCATCCACCCCTGCCTGTGGAGAGGGACATTCTGCTGACAGGGCTACCTGGCTGGCCTGAGTTCAAAGCGCCCCCTGCAGGCTGTGGCATGTGCTTCATGCTTTCCAAGGCAGTGCACACCTGGAAGGAGAGGCTTCCCTTCCCTGGACCCCTCTCTTGCCTCCTACCCATCCCCTTCCCCCAAGCCCTGTGGCTGTCCCCAGAAACCAGGACTCACCTAGTAGAGCACATCCTCGAAGTCAAGCTGCAGGTAGCGGAGCAGGCGGGGTGGCAGTGGAAGGCGGGGCAGGGCGTGGGGCAGGCAGCCTGCCAGGTGCGCACGCAGCGCACAGCGGCTCAGGTGCTGCAGTGACCGGGGCTGCCTCACCAGGGCGAAGAGGGAAGAGTAGAAGTGCTGGTGCTTCTGGGGACAGGAGGAGGGACTCAGCCAGGGCAGCCTTGGACAGGTGGCACCCACTTCTAACAGGGACAGGCTGTCCTATAGATACCCATCTCTTTGAACTCACTGGGATATGAGGGGACCTCTGGGTGATTTCTTGGGGACCAACAAGGTTGCCCTTTAGGGGTGGGAGTCTCTTGGGGGCAGGCTGAGTGATTCTGGCTAAAGGGTCCTGGAATCTGACCTTCAGAGTTTCAGGAGGCACCAGGCCCATGGCCTCCTCGGGAAGCTGCAGGACACTGTAGGTGTTCATCAGGACCTCGATGGTCCGTGGGGACGTGCACCAGCGCTCCAGGACCTGGAGGAGGCAGGGAAGGTCAGGTACCCATCAGTCTGTGCAGGATGGCCAAGAGCTCTTGTGGGTAGTATGTTATTCCCCAAAAAGATATATTGAAGTCCTAATTCCTGGTACCCATGAATGTGACCTTATTTGGAAATAGGTCTTTCTAATATAAACAAGTTAAAATGAGATCATTAGGATGGGTCCTAATCCAGTATGTCCTTATAGAAAGGAAAACAGAGGCACAGACATACACAGGAAAGACCATGTGACAACCTACGCAGACATAGTGATGTGTCCACAAGCCAAGGAACACCAGGGATTGTGGGCAATCACAGTGTCCCCACCAGAACCTCCAGACCCTTCTGGGGACTGTGTGGGAATGGATTTGTTGCTTTGAACCACCTGGTTCTTACAACAGTCCCAGGAAACTAACACAACAGTTCTTTCTTTCATTTAGGGGGTGTGTTGGGGATCAAACCCAGGACTTCTATACATGCTAAGTGCATGTTCTACCACTGAGCTGCTACTCCAGCCTGTCAGCTAATGTGTTTTTTTTGGGGGGAGGGTGCTGGGGATTGAACCCTGCCAGGGGCCTTAACCACTGAGCAACATCCCTGGCCCTTTTTTATATATTTTTTAATTAGAGACAAGTTCTTGCTGAGTTGCCTAGGGCCTTGCTAAATTGCTGAGGCTGGCTTTGAACTTGCGATCCTCCTGCTTCAGCCTCCCAAGCCGCTAGGATTACAGGCATGTGCCACCATGCTCAGCCGTCAGCTAACATTTCTACTGTACGTAGTTTATGCCAGATATTTAGCATGTAGCATGTATGAACTCTTAATCCTTATCCCTAAAAGGCATGGACTGTTATTGTCCCCGTTGTACATAAAAGGAAACTGAGGCATAGAGAAGTTAAGCATCTTGCCCAAATTGTTCCAGCAGTCCAAGCCTGGCACGTGACTCCTTGCCTCTGCCTACTACAGCATCCTGCTGTCCTGCCTGCCTCTACAGGGCTCTGTGCTGGATTTTCTGCTTGCTAGAAGGGAGTCCCTAGGTGGAGTGCCTATCTAAGTGAAAAGGTTAGTCCTGTAAAAAATAGAATCTCCCTGGTGTCCAGTGAAGGCCAGAGGCAGCTATGAGAGGAGGCAGCAATGGAGGGCTTGGTAGGGATAGAGTTGGAGCCAGATTCATGCTTTCAATTCCTCTTTAGGAAAATATTCACGGAGGGCCTACTCTGCCCACCCCTGGGGTCCCGCGGTGAGGAGGAGAAGCAGGGTCCTGTCGTCTGCAAGCTCCATTGCAGAGCAAAGACAATAAACATTGTTTGCAGCTCACAGGCCTAGGGTGTGGCGAAAAATAAGTAGGATCAGGAGCTGAGCATGGTCAGGGAAAGCACTGTCCCACATGGGGTGGTCTCCGCAGTGGTGGCCTGGAGCCAGGAGGAGGCAAGAAAGACTTGCAGTGGGAGCAGCCCAGGGAAGGAGCCTCCATGTGCTCCGATGGACAGCCACAGCCTAACATGCCCAGGTGCCACGACGGCCACCCTGAGTGCCCACTCCTGCACATACCTCGTGCACATCCCACGTGTGTCGCATACAACATGAGGGGCCTGGACAGCCCTGCCTTCCAGGGGCCCTGGCGGATGGTGGGGACAGGTAGAAGGCCCAGGCTTGACTAGGGCACGGGGACCACCAGAGCACACAACTTACTCGGGCTCGCTGCTTCTTGCCCTGATTCTGGGAAGTGCTTACCAGAGCTGCCCTGGCCGAGTCTGTCTGGGACAGGCCTCTTTATTTCAGTCTCCAGTGAGGAAAGCACATGTCTGCCCGAGATGTCCACCCTGTGGTAAAGCCTGTCTATCCACATACCAGGCTTCCCAGAACTGCCCATCCCAGGCCCACTCCTCCAGGAAGCCCAGGCTGCCACTCCCACCTGCACTGCTGCTGTGCCCAGCGATCCTTCTGTTAGGGGATGCCTAGCGGCTCACCAAGCGCCCCCACACGCATCCCCTCCCTTTCAGAGGATGGTTGCTAAGTACTGAGGTGGTGGCCTGGCTCCAGAGCCTGCTCTGTCAGTGTCACCAGCTTCAGAGGTTGTTGGAGGACTGAGGGACCCAATCCACAGGTGGCATAACTTTGAACAGTGTCTGATGTGTGCTGTCCCCCACTGGTCCCGACTATGCTCCTATGGCTTTCCGTCTCTGCTCAGTAGAGGATGCATGACCTGCCAGAAACTTGGGGTCCAGAGGATTTCAGTAACTTGCCTATGGTCACAAGAACAGCGTCAAAGCCAGAACCAGATTCAGGCCCCCTCAGTGCCAAGTCCAGTAAGGTGGCTCCTGGAGAGCTGGTGGGGCTGGCATGTCACACGGATGGGCCCCAGCATCTTCCTCATGGGAAGGCAGGAAGCCCAGCCAAGACTGGAGGGCTTTCAGATCACAGGAAATGGACACATGGGGCCCTTTGCTCTGCTGGCCCCTGGGCTCCCCGAGACAGGCCACAGGGCAGGGCAGAGCCGCGGGCAGGCGCAGGGTCCCGGGAATCTGTCTGCTGTGCCAAGTCCTCCTCTTGCCCCGCCTGGCAGGGAAATCATTAGCTGTCAGAGCCGGCGTCAGATTACAGGGAATTGCTCCTCTCCTAATTATCTGGTGTTAATAGGAGATTAATTAGTGTTAATTGTTGATTTTCTTGTATTTTCCCAAAGGGGAGACCAATCTGCCGAACTCTCGGGCTGTTTAATTATTTGGTCTTGCTTAGGAATCCAGACAGATGCTTCTAGGTTTGTGAGCAAAGGGGAGAGGCGGGGACAGTAGGGTGGGCCCAGGAAGGGGCAGGGTGGGGTGGGACCAGCCCCTAAGCAGGGCCAGAGGGGACCTGCCAGCCCTCCCAGAAGGCCAGTTCAGGCCTGACCCCGCTGCTGTGACAACAGGAATCCTTCCCTGCCCTCCATGACAGTAGCCCCCATGGGCCGGACACTACAGGGGACAAGGTCCCTGGCCGGGGAATCTGCCCTGCAGTTCAGGTCTTCAGGTTGAACCCACTCTGGGGAAATTAGTGCAAAGTAAGATATAAACCAAAAAATGACAGTGAAGGGCATTTTCACAGGTGCAGGGTGATTGAACCTCAGGAAATGGGCTCATGCTCTGCCCTGGGAGGGGTCTCGCCTGTGCCCACTGTCTGTCTCTCTCAGCTGATACCGCTGGTACTCTGAGCTCCCCAAATGCTCTTCCAGCAGTTCATGGCCCTGAGGAAGACCTTTCACCTTCTATGCTGCCCACATCAGTCTTGACTCATTCAGACTTTTTTTTTTTTTTTTCCATTTTGAAACAGGGTCTTGCTAAGTTGCTGAGTCTGGCCTTCAACTTGGGAGCCTCCTGTCTCGGCCTCCTGAATCTCTGGGACTACAATTGTTCACCACCATGCCTGGCTTTGATTTAGTCTTGTTGGATCTTTTATAATCCTTCTACACTCAGTCCACCTTCGCCATACACGTGCACACACAAACTCTGGACACAGGTACACACACACCCTGCATGTAGGTGCACATGAATGTATACACATGTGTACGTATGTACGCACAAACACGCTTCCTGTTCTGAGCCCTGGCTTTTACCTCTATTAGGGTTTTGCTTCCTTGTTGAATGAAAGAAGGGGCTAACCTATGTGCCCCGGGGTTCCAGGCTGCATTGCAAAACAAGCTGGCAAGCGGTCTAGGTCTCCCGTCCCCTCACATCATGGCCCCTCCATGCCTTCAGCCCCCGTACCTTGGGGAGGGCTCCTGGCCAGACTCGCACAGCGCCGTGGTTGAGCAGAGCCCGCACCACTTGCTCAGGGCTCTGGGCCAGGGCTGTAGCTGGACCCTGCAGAGCACAGTGCAGGGCTGTGTGTCCCCCATAGTCCATGGCGTTGGTACTGACACCACAGGACAGGAGCAGCTCTACAACGGCCACGTGGCCATGGCGACAGGCCAGGTGCAGGGGGCGCTGTTTGTCCCGGTCGGCAGCATCCGCATCTGCCCCCGCTGACAGCAGTAAACGGCACAGCTGGAAACAGCGGGTAGTGGTGGCCTCGGCATCGGCAGGAGAGTGGCAGCGGATGTCACAGGCAGCCAACAGTGGTGTCCAGCCCTCGGCATTGCGGGCATCGGGGCACGCACCCCGTCTTAGAAGCAGGTCTGCCAGTTCCACATGGCCAAGTCGGGCTGCCACGTGCAAAGGGGTCTCCTCCTCCTCTTCAGACCGGCCATCCACTTGTGCACCAAAGCGCAGGAGCAGCTCCGCACACCTAGGAAGAGCGAGATGGCAGGGAGGGAAGTGGGTCTGCTAACAGGGCAGGGGGCCCTGGCTGGCTCCTGGTTCTGTCCTGCCTGTCACTCACTGGCAGGACCCACAGAGGCCATTTTGAAAGCCCAGGACTTCCTGCAGGCATTGTCCACTAACCCTGTGGGAATAAAAGCCACAAGCAGTCCTCACGTGGTTGGAGCGGCACCCTTCCAAGGGCCTTGCCAAGGTCCCTTGGTGGTCTCTTATGAATGTCATGTCACAGAGGAGGAAACTGAGTCTCTGAAGGTTTGAGGATCTCATGCGAATTCACACAGCTCGTAAGGGGCACAGATGGCATTCAGGGCCAGGACAAGCAGAGCACTTTAAAGATTCTGTGGGCTGGGAACGGAGGGCAAAGCTGGGGTGCAGGGCCTGGTGGTGAACTCAAATAGCAGTGGGAACACAAATAACAATAGGGACAAAAAACCCAACAAAACTAAAATTGACCAGCAAGAGTTGTTCTAAGACGGTGCCCAGGAAAGATTGCACTGTAGAAACACAGGGAGTCCCAGTAACATGCACCCAAATTCGAAGCTGCCTCTTTGGGCTCAGTGTAGAATGCAGGGTGAGGGGTAATACTACTCATCCCTGATGAGGTGCTGTGAGCGGCATGAGACGGTGCCTGAAAGGTGTTCTCACACAAGTCCGCACGGCAGCATCGGGTGGGGGGAGTGGGCAGTATCGATGGTGATGGGGTCAGAGGGCTCAGTCTATTATCTTGGCTACCATTCTGTTTGTTCAAAATGTTCCATAATAATTTTGAAATACATTTGTTTCAAGAAAGGAAGGGGTGATTATCATTGGGTGTGCTCGCAGGGAGACTGGGCTGAAACACAGCCAGAACTAAAAATGTGGGTTACCGAGAGTTATGGGCCCACCGTGGCAGCCACCAGCCATGTGCTGTGGAACACGTGCAACATGGTAGTCCAAGTGCCAGTGTGCTGTGTTGACGACACACTACTCCTAAGGACTCTGTCCACAAAAAGATTGTAAAATGTTTATATTGATGATGTGTTGAAATTACAACATTTTGGGTATGCTAAATAAAATACATTAACATTAATTTCACCTGTTTCACAGATATTCATATGTCCATGTTCATAGCAGAATTATTCATGATGTGGCAGCAGCACAAGTGTCCATGAACAGGTGATAGGATGAAAAAAATGTGGTATTAACATGTAATGGAATATTATTCAGCCTTAATAAGGAAGGAAATTGAAGCATGCTTCAACGTGGATGAGCCTGAGGACATAGGCTAGGTGCAAGAAGCCAGTTGCAAAAGGATGAATGATATACAATCCCACTTATATGAGGTCCCTAGACAGTAGAATTGTGGTTGCCAGGGCCTGGGGAGAGGGGTCATGTTTAGCAGGGACAGAGCTTCCATTTTGCAAGATGGAAGTGTTCTGTGGGTGGATGGTGTGGTGGTTGCATAGCGATGTGAATGTACTCAGGCCACTGAACTTTAAAATGGTAAATTTTGTGATATATGTATTTTATCATAATTTAAGAAATAAATGTCAACTCTTTCACTTTCAATTGTTGATGGGACTACTAGAAAAATTCAAATTGTATATATGGCTCACATTAGATTTTGTGGGGGCAGGGGTACTGGGGATGGAACCCAGAGGCGCTTTACTACCTAGCCACATCCCCAGCCCTTTTCTATTTTTTTTTTAAATTTATAGTTGTAGATGGACAGCATGCCTTTATTTGTTTAGTTTTTTTACGTGGTACTAAGGATCAAACCCAGTGCCTCACACATGCTAGGCAAGTGCACTGAGCTACAGCTACAGCCCCCTATTTTTTTATTTTAAAGCAGGGCCTCACTAAGTTGCTTACGGCCTAAGTTACTGAGGCTGGTCTTGAACTCATGATCCTTCCACCTCCACCTCCTGAGTTGCTGGGATTATAGGTGTGCACCACCATGCCCAGCCCAAGCAGGGATAATGTGTCTTTCAGGGGGTCAAGATGCAAAATCGGGCAGGTATGCAGTCAGCCAAGAGGGGGCTCCACTGCACGTAGAGTTAGTCCCCAGATTGGTCTAGGCTCCTTCTGCCCAGATTCTACATTCATTAAAAAATTACAAGCGGGGAACTCATTCTTCTACATTCCTTATACACAGGCCATAATTATTTAGGTCATTGCAAAGGAATATTTCTTAGAGTAAATAGCACATAGACATGGGTGTATCCATGTTTCTTGTGAGTTGAGTTAGTGACAGTCCCTTAAGCTCATTTATCAGAGAGTGTCCTGCCAATGGGATTCTAAACCTGCTAGTTGAGAGCCAGACCCTCAGGGACCACAGCAGTCCCTAACTAGGACTTCTGTCTCCCCAACCTCTCTGGATCATGGGACAACAAGCTTCCTGAGTGCAGGAACATGACTCAGCTGCTGTTCCAGTGTCTGAAACATGGGATAAGCTCAGAAAATATCAAAACTTTATAGCAAAACCATCTCTCCATAATGGATATGGACAATTTCCCCAGTGCAGGCCACATAGCTGGGCCACAGCTTCAGCCCTCTGCTGGCCCTGGGGAACCAGAAAACTGTCCCAAGTCCAAGACACTGCAGACTCAAGGGCCAGTGGCTGGCTGTCTTGGGCACTGATTGCATCCTGGCCTCCACCAGCCCAACTCCTCCAGCCCAACCCTTCACCTGCCCCCTACCTTCCCTGGGAAGATCTCCTTGCCTCCCCTAAGAGTGAACCCAAAAGAGTGAACCCAAGGTTGGGGTGAGGGGTCACTCACTGAAGGGTACCAGCCCCACGGCAGAGATGCAAGGGGCGTTTCCCATCCTGGTCAGGGATATTGGGGTCAGCTCCTGCCACCAGCAGCACGTGGACACAGGCAGTGTGACCTGCAGCACAGGCCTCATGCAGGGCAGTGCGGCCCCCGGGGGCGCTGTCTGGCTTCGCCCTCCGCCTCAGCAGCAGCTTCAGAACTTCCGTGTGGCCACGGCTGGCTGCCACATGCAGCGGGGTGGTCAGCTCCTCTTCATATGTTAGAGACCAGAGTCCTAGGGAGAGAGGGACAAAACCTCGGATCCTGAGTGACAGCAAAGAGGTGCCAGCCAAGAGGGTGGCACTGGCAGAAGGGGATGCAGGAGCCCGAGCTCTGTTACAGCCTCCCCTCTCCCACTCAGACCCCCCATGCTGGGCCCCATACTCAGAGCGCGGATGTTGAAGCGGAAATCCCTCCATCGCTCTGGGTCGCTGGTGTCAAAGACGGAATCAGGAGCCAGGCTGGTACTGGAGTCTGCCAGGACGCGGGAGACAGAGCCCACGTCCCCAGCCAGCACTGCCTGCCAGAAGGCAAGGGCAGGTCCTGAGGCCGTGCGGGTGACAATGGGTCCCGGGCCAGACTGGGTGTGCTCCTCGGACCCTCTGCTGGGCTTCTCCACCAGCCTGGCACAGAGGGTGTGTCTGTCACTGGGGGGGTCTCCCTGCCCCCTGCACTCTTCTGGGGACCAGCTCATGAGCACATAGGAAGGGAAAGGGGGTGGGAGAAGCAGAGGTAGAGGACACAGGCAGAGAGAGGTTGAAAGGAGGCAGAGGGCCCCCTCTGTCCCCAGCCGGAGCCTGACCTGGCCACGAGGTCCAGCAGGAGCTATTCTGGGCTCCACATGACTTCTCTCCTGGGCCAAGATTTAGGTTGTTGGGCAAGTTTTGGGGTGGGGAGCAGCAGCTAGGGGCTTCTCTTCCTCAGGCCTTGGGAGCTCTGTGCCTCGGCCAGCCAGCCCTGGGTCTCAGGCCTCCCCCAGCAGCCTCTCACCCCTCTGGTGGCTGCTCCAGCGAGGCTCGGCGGCCCGGCTCTCCAGCAGCAGGTCTGCTGTACTGTGTGGGGGGAACAGGTCCTGCAGCCTCGCCAGGTCCCCGGTGTAGAGGGCATTCTGGAGAGCCATGTCCCGGCACAGCAGGGATGATGACCCAGGGGTTTCCCAGGCCCGGCAGGCAGGGGCCGAGGGGAGGCACCCCAGATGGTGTCCCCGGAGGGGAGGAGAGCTCCTTCCCCTAGGCATGGCTGGTTTCTGGGAGAAGGAGCCAAAGCAACAGGACTGGGGTGACAGTGCTGGTGGACTGGGTGGGTGGCGCTGGGCCCTGGCCAGGCAAGCCAGTGTGGGCGGAGCCAGGGAGCATGCAGGGGCCAGCCATAAATAGCCCCCAGCTGTCCCAATTGACAATGCCCAGATGGAACTCCCAGGCTGGGAGCTGGAGTTAGGGAGGAACCGTGGAGGGGGTGGGAGTGGACCTTCAGTTCCCCAGGGCTGGGTGACATCAGGGTTGATATCCATGAAGTCTGGCATCTCCAAGACACAGAACAGCCCAGGGAAGAGGAGCCATTTGCCCAAGGACACACAGATAACTGGTGGCAGGGCTGGAACCCACCTGCTTTACCATGTCAGCCTTGCACTGCCTGGTCTCTGGCCCAGACCAAGGCAGGGACCCCTGTTACTCCTGTTCCTCAAAAAGTCACTCATGAGTCCTGAAAATTCCACTCCCAAATCCAAGGGAAGGAACTCAGTAGTGACAAGCAGCAGAGATGCCCCAAGTGTGAGGCACTCCTCCAGGGCTCTCTGGAAGACAGGCATCTGCCCAGGGAGCGGGGCTCAGCCCACAGGCAGCAACAGACCTCTGCTGCCCACCCCAGGTGCTGGTCCCCCATACGCATCTGCCACATTGAGAAGTGATGGGGCTTCCTGGTCCTTGGGGACACGGCTGTCCTGGCTCCCCAGAGTTCCCCACCGGGCCCACTACTTTCTTTTTTTTTTTTTTTTCTACTTATTGTGAATCTTCCTTCTCCCTCTCTTTCCCGGTTTCCTTCCTAGTTTTTGTCCCTTAAGGAGCAAGAAAGCTGGGAGCCAGCACAGAAAAATGACAGAGATGAAGACATGGGGTGGTGGCCCAGGGCAGGCTGCGAACAGGATCCGGAAGCCAGAGCAGAGGGATGGAAGGAGCCAGGGAGCAGGTGCAGTGGGAGCTGGGAGAGGGAGGCTGGTGGAGGAGGCTGGCCTCGGGCAGGACAGACAGAGGAGGGAAGACACAGAGATGGACAGACAAGAGAGCTCATCCCCAGCCACCTGGCATTTATACCCCTGTCCCTTCACACCCGGGGAACTGCCCAGTCCCCACCCACATCTCAGGCCTCCTCAGGCCTCAATTATCACTTCCTTTTCTTCTCCTTTGCCAGCTTGGCCTCCTCAGCCTCCTGGTCCTTCATAAATTTCAAACTCTTCTTGCCCAGTGGGGTTTTGAAGTACCACTCCTGGGTTGGCAGGAGAGGAGGGTGTGAGTTCACTGGCCCTGACCCCCGGTTCTCCTGTCCCTACCCCTCCCCTTCTTAGGGGTCCTGTTTCCTCAACAGCCTTTTCTCCTGTCCTCTGGGGTCTGGGAATCCTGTTAGAACCAGGGCTTTCCATGCTCCCCACCAAATACTCCAGGTCACAGTGCAGCCATTCTCCCTCCAGGCCTCTTGCCAAGACCAGCCTGCCATTGGGGGGTGGGTACTACCTCGGGAGTAGAGGAAGCAGGTGGCAGCTGGTACCAGAACCAACCAAGGACCCCAACACATAGGTGGCCACCCTCAAGTAAACCAGATGAGGGGGTCCTGCCCACAGACACCTAGCCCTTGGTCCTCCCTGGGGTCTTCTGTTCCTCTCTCAGCTGAAGTCCGTGTTCATTTAACCTGACCATCTTCTGGCATTTAGGGGAGCAAAGGGAGGACCCCAAGGCATGCAGCGAAGGACTGATTCTAGGTGGCGTTTCTGGCTCCCAGCCCCTGCCTGCCACCTCACCTCCAGGGACTCTTCCTCCTCCCTGTACACTGGATCTAGCTTCGCCAGATGGCCCAAGAACTCTGAGGCCACCAGGGGCCTCTTGGACAGTTGCAGGAGCCGCCGTTCATTCAGCACCGAGTGGGTGGCTTGGAAAATGTGACCGGTCGTATAGCCATCGGACACCTTGGCTAGGGCACTGATGTCCAGGCTCTGGGTCACCTGAGCTCCCCGGGCTTCTATCATGTGCTTCCAAAGCACTGCAGGCAGTAGGAGGGGACAGGCTGTGAGGGGCAGGGGCATCAGGGTGGCCAGCCAGGCCTCACAGCCTCCACCTGAGTCTGGAAGGAGCTGCGTCTCTGGAAAGCACTGCCTCTTCCCCAGAAAGGTCTGGGACCCAGAGTGGTAGGGATTGTCCTCTCTGATGAACACCAGGAAATGGGGACTCTCAAGAACAGAAGGGACGTGCCTGTGTCCCTGGGGCTGAAGCCATGGGGTGAAGGGAAGAGGTGTGGGGGCCCTGGCAGGGGCAGTGTTAACTGGACTCCTTCTCTGGCCCATCTCCCTAGGCCCTGGCCTCACCATAGCGAGAAGCATAATCCGGCCGTGGCACCAGGAGGATCCGCTCATACATCCGGCACAGCCCCTTTATCTCAGCCAGCTGTGGCCGGTCTGTGGTCCCTATGAGCATCACGCGGTCTCCGGGATTCAGCAGCCGCAAGGCCCTCGTGAGGTCCTTCTTTATTCGCTTTGGTTCCATCTGCTCCAGGAAGAGAGGGGGGTGGGGTCGGCAGGGTGATTGGGCCTGCAGGGCCCTGTGTTCTCAGAGCACATGTCCCCCATCAGCCTCCTGTCAGCCCCGAGTGGGGCAGGGAGAGGCTGTCCGTCCTGCTTCAAGACAGGGAGAGGAGGCGCGAGGAGGGCAGGGGGCCGCCCAGGTGGTGGTGAGGGGGTCTGCAGGGCCTGTCCTCACAGCCCTTCTTGCCTGTGCTTCCTCACCTTCCTCTCTTCCTTGGGGATCTTCTTATAGAAAGTCTTCTCAGCATCTCCAATCCAGATCACAGAGGGCTGTAGGAGCCGGGCCACCTGGACAGAGGATAGAAATCACATGTAAGACTCCCTGGGGAAGGGTCACATCCCCACCTGGTTGTGCACCAGGATCAGGGCTGGTTCTGTGCAGGGACTGACCTTGGTGCTCCACGCTTTGCCCGTCCTTCCTGCTAGTGCTTTGCACACACATCCATCCACACCACAACTCCACGGTGGGGCAGGGGCTACGTCTGAGGGGCTACGTCTGAGGCCTCATCTTCCTGTGCCACCTCCTGTCTCCTCCCACCTTTACCACAGGAGTTCAGGGGGAACCCAAGCTCCTATCAGGGGTTGGAAGGGAGACCTCACCAGTTCAGTGTTGTTTTTGAAACCCCCCCCCAAATAGGCAGATGGGTAACCCTCGAAGCATAAAGCCACCCTGCTCTGTTGCCCTAAGTCTGAAAACTAGAAACACAAAATTCAGGGGCTCCGGACCTTGAAGACCATGTGAATCATCAACTGCACCCCACTCTTGCCAGGATATTTGCCCTGAAGGTTGCTGGGTGACAGGTCAAACAGGTTGGCACCAGTTTCTGTGCACACAGCCTGAACCAGCATCTTCTTCCCCATGCCAGAGGGGCCCACCAGAAGGATGGAGCGGATGAGGGGAGCCATGGAGTGGACATCTGGGGAGCCTGGAGGGGAGGAGAGCCAAGGCAGATGGTGGACTGGTGGAGACCTTGTTATGCCAGGCGAGGGCCTGGGCTGGGAGGGCGGGGTTCCAGCCAGGGCCATACTACCATCCCCACACCTGAGCAGCTCCTCCTGGCCTGCAGCCTGGAAAACAGTGAATGGCTTAGGAATCTCCATGGCAGGAAGCTGTTTTGGGGTCAGGAGGGAGCCCGCCACCCTCTGCCCACACCCTTCACCCTCTGCCCTTCTGTTCTCCATGCCGCCTGGTTCCGTCCCTGGACCGTGTTGGGATGGAATTGAAACATATGTGACAAGATGCTTCAGAAAGGTTCTCCCTGGTTTTTCATTGGGTGTGCAGACTGGCCTTCTAGAAATGGGACTAATATCCTTAGGATTGAGGAAGGAGCTAGCAGTGTGGACCCCTGCTGGGGTGGCCCAGGATGGGCCTGGGGAAGGCAGGAGTCCAACATGGACCTGTGGCACCTAGGGAGGGGAAGCCCAAACTGGACATGGCCATCACAGCCACCTCCCCTGAACCCCACCCTCACCCCCGCCTGACCCCACCAACACAGACTCGTCTCTCCCCAGGCCTCTCACCCAGCCGAAGGACGCCATACAAGGCCATGTTCTGTCTTATGTCAAACAGAGAGGGCATGGGCAACTTGTTGGCCAAACACAGAGCAGACCCAAGATAGAGGCAGTCACCTGAGGGGACAGGGTGAGCAGTTTCCCATGGGTCATCCAAGAGAAAGAAGGGCTTGGGAAGGCAAGGCTGTGGACCAGGGCCGGAGCCACCCTGGGAGCACGTGTGTGGGGTGGGCTCACCAACATAGTCTTTCAACGCCACTGCCACACTCTTCTTTAGAAGGCCAAAAAAGACAAGCTCTTCATACAGCGAGTTCACAGTTCTAGAGGAAGATGGCATGGAGACCCCAAGGACATTGGCAAGCAAGGACCAAGGGAAATGGACAGGTGGGGTGCTGTAGGCACCGGGAGAGGGAGAGTGGGCGATATCAGCAGTGCTCCTGGACAACTAGA